TAGTTAATCCTTATCCTAGCGTGGTATAGAATACTCCGGGTAAAAGTGATGACTTCCATTTACGTAGGAGGGAGAGCTTTCTTCAAAAGGGTAAAAATAATGTTTAGTTGAGTGCTTGCTCATTCGAATTATCCATCAATTAATTTTAGATTGCATACTCGAGAAGCTCCTATTTAGAATATAGAGAAGTATAATAAAAGTCATTTGTAAAGGCAATCGGAGTTGTATGTAAAAGGATAATAAAAGCAACTACAATTTGTTTTTCAATTCCGTACTAAATTTTAGATATTAGTTGCCTGATACTATCTCGCATAGAAAATAGTTTAGTTTTAAGGAATTTAACTAGTGAGAAAGTTAATCATGAAAATTAACAAATTTGATAAGTAAGCAATAATAAGTAAAAGTGAACATACAATTTTAAAAGTATAGCTAGAGGCAATCAGGTTGTATGTAAAAGAATAATAAAACCTTTTTTTTTCAATTCGTTGATGAATTTAAAGTAGTAGTTTAATTAGTTTCCAGATATTATCTTTTATAGAAAATACTTTAGTTTTGAGGAATTTAACTAGTGAGAAAGTTAATCATGAAAATTAACAAATTTGAAAAGTAAACAATAATAAGTAAAAGTGAACATACAATTTTAAAAGTATAGCTAGAGGTAATCAGATTGTATGTAAAAGAATAATAAAACCCTTTTTTTTTCAATTCGTTGATGAATTTAAAGTAGTAGTTTAATTAGTTTTCAGATATTATCTTTTATAGAAAATACTTCAGTTTCAAAGATTTTAAGTAGTAAAAAAATTAACCTTAAAAATTAACAATTTTGATAAGTAAACAAAATTATGAAAAAGTGAATATACAATTTTAAAAGTAAAGCTAGATTTTAAACTTGAATTCAAAATTTAAGTTAGTTTATAATAAAATATTTATCTTAAAAATACTTAGCCTAAAAATATTTTTATATTCTGTCCGGAAAATATTTTAATTTTGGTATCCTTTTTTTAGACATGCGCAAAAGGAGAATCATGCTAATTAATTCATTTTGCAGTTTTCAAAATGCCGGGTTAGCCTGGTTAATAGGGCGCTGGACTCACGTTCATGAGAACGGAAATTCAAAGCCAGCCAGAGGAAGACTCCCCGTGCAGTAAATGGTGACGGAAGTACGCTAAATCTGTCGGGTCACAAAGTCCTCTTTGTTCCCATAACAAATTATACATCTGGAGGTACTGGATTGGAGATTGATCTTTCTCTGGTTCAGGTCAAAATTACGATTTGTGGATGAAGGAATGGATGTATGAATGGATTTTTTTAACGAGAGGAAACATTTAAACAAAATTATATTTTAAAGAGTTCTTAAACATTTAATCCGACTTAATCACCTTACCTCAGTTTTAAAATAAGCGATGATTGGTTTGATTTTTTTAAATCTTATTTCAGTTCCATGAAAATATTTGATTAAATATATTTAACTTACATAAATAGTTACTTTGTACTTTTAATGTGAAAATTGAAAAAAAAATCATGTTTAATAAATTTTAGGCACTAAAAAATAAAATACAGAATTTAAAACTCCTCAGCACTTCTGCAGTTAAATAGTTAACTTCAAATAAAATGCAAACTTAACACTGAGTGATAATGTTTAAAATGCGGTAAAGTTTATGCTACCCTGTTCGATAAATAATCAAAAATTTGATGCTTAATTAGACAATTTATTTTTAATTAAAGTTTTGCAACAAGAAATCACCTCTTGCGCATCAAATTGTGGGCGCACAATAACCTCCCAAGGGAAACTTAAATTTTCAATGACTACTAGAAATCTGAGATCTCGTCTTAAATGACGTCATTAAATTGTGTTTCGCAGTTATCTCCTGGTAAACAATGGGCTTGAGTTAATTGAGGGTTAAAAAACGAAATATTATTCTCTATCCTTAATCGGCAGGTAACCCACGAGTTTAATCGCCGAATCTGGCTTACACGTTATTCTCAGTCTTTGAGGGGTTATCAGTGGGGAAATCGTGCATCGAGCTTGTAAAAAAACAAAACAGCCGACCTCGATCACTGCTTTCGTGTTTGAAGATTTTGAATTTCGTAAAACTGTTGACAGAAAGGAAATATACGTAATGACAATAAGAATGAACTTTGAAGAATGGGAGATTGAATCAGAATGATTGAAGAACTAAGATCGAAATTTAACTGTCATTTAGAGTTACAAATAGATCGTAACAGAAAGTTTATCTGCTGCTCGAAATTTTTTCATGCGTTAAACTAAAAATAACTGTTAAGGTTACTTAGAAACGGAGCGAACGTTCCAGCAATCGAATATTATATAAATTTAAAATCTCAAAGTATATTTCTTTTCAAAATATTAATTTTTAAAAATGTTACGAATAAGAAAATCAATGAAAACAATGAATTTGTATTACATAATGTAAAAAAAAACTATTTTTTAGAAATGTTACAATCATTTATGCAACAAGTGTCTATTGTTTCATTTTTAAAACTGAAAATTTTAATCAGTAGATTTAGCATAGAAATAAATGCAAGTTTTTTTAAACCAGATGTACGTTTTTTTAGTAAAGTTAAATAAAATATGTATGTATAATAATTTTACAGTAATTAAATTTAATTTTATAATTAGAAATTTTGCACCCAGTTAATTTCCAATTACCTTAATAAATGTGTGTTTTTTATTATAAATTATCAATATTTAATAAATTAATGTATTTGTTTTTAAATAAATTGTAATCCAACATAACCTATAAAATTCAACACTTTCTCTAAAAATAATTAATAATGTTAAAAGGAGAAAATATTAAGCAAATTGTATGAAAGTTAAATTTCGAAAATGATGTAAAATTATTTTAAAGACTAAGTTTTTCAAATAAATTTTTAAAAAAAAGGAGAAAATGATTTGTTTTTGTCGGACCAAAAATATATAAAAAATGAAGAAGGGATTTTCGATGTTGATAAAAATTTATTACGGAAGTGAGAAGCCGGAAAATTTTTATATCTGGTCTTTTCTTTAATTTTTCTTTTTCGATAAAATGATGAAAATGTTTCTCTCAGAATTTAAAAAAATAGTAGTTCGTATTAACATCAGACACAGAAATAGAGTTAAAATTTGAGCAATTTAGCTAATCGAAAAGTAGCCGAAATTTCGATTGGCAGTAAATTCAAATTAACAATAAAAGGACGACATGATTTTGTAGTAGCAAGGACGATTGAAACTTGAATCGTCATTAGTCATGAAAGTGGCGAATCGCGTGAATCATCATTAGTGAATCGGGAAAATGTCGACTCGTATAAGCATAAACAGTGCGCAAGCGAAAAGCTTATAGTGCGTCAAAATATGACGGACCACAATGGATCATTTTTGATTTAATGATCGGATCTTCACCTTCTAGGACACAATCTTAATAATTAAAAGGGGTGACCTCAAATATGCTGATTGATTAGTGCAGACGATATTTTAAGCTCCGAATTCAGACAGAAAACGTACTTTCTCCGTATAAACATGTTTTTTCCCCATCGGATTTGGATTTCTGTTTCCCAAAATATGGGGGGTAGCAGCATACTGGGAAATATTGTCCTTATAGTTTGGTCAAGAGAGTGGTCCAAAGTTCGAACCCTTTAATGTGAATTTTACTTTTTCCGTATTTCGCCATATCTCGCGAACTTTCTATGCAGATTGAAAAATGTTTGCTCACAATTATAAAAACACATTCCAAAGATAGTTCTATTATCTAAAGATAGCTAAGTGAAAAAAATAAATTTAAATAAATATTTAATTCTATTATGTTATTTAATAATAGTCGAAAAATTTTGAATTGTATGGTATATAATTATTTACATTATTTTAAAGTATATAAAGTAATTTCATATTGAAGTGCATACAATATATCAGTGGAATTGGCTGAAAAGTTCATTAGAAACCAAATTCTAAATATACTATTTTTTTTAAAAAGTTTGAATTCTCAGGAACTATTCAACTAATTTCGGTCCTGGTTAAACTGTTCTACCGTAAAGTGCTCGACTTCGCGTGCAGGTCGTTGGCCTACCGAAGCGGGGGGTGCCATCCCCTTTGCAGAGGATCAAAATTGCGATGGCATGTCTTCGGATCATCCCCAGGGATGCTTCCCAGACCGTCGCCAATAGCCCATTGTGCAGCTCTAGTGCGACGTAAATAAACTACAACAACAACTAATTTCGGTTAAATATTGTATTTTACCATGTAAAATTAGATACTTTAAAATGATGCAAAAAATTGTATTCAAAATTTTTTTTCGACTATTACGAAATAAAATAAATATTTTTTTAAATGTAATTTTTGTATGAAACTATTTTTATACAAATGAATTTTAAAATTGAGTGCAAAAATTTTCAATTCGCTTAAAAAGTTCTCGAGATATGGTGAAATATTTAAAAAATCAAATCAACGTTAGGGGGTACTCTCCTGACCAAACTATTAGGGTCACATTATCCAGGTTGAGGCTACCCAACACATTTTGAGGATCATGACATTTGAATCTGATTTTGTGCCTGATTTCGTAATTTTAAATATCGTCTACACTAATTAATTACAGACTTTGAAGTCACCCCTCGTTCCAATAAGATGGAGTCCTAGAACGGGAAGATCTGATCATTAGATCAAAAGTTATTCAGAGTGGTCCGTTTTTGTGCACTGTACCTTATAAGATTTAGGATCACAAGTTTAAGCGAAGGAAAATAATTGTACGCATGGTTCTATTTAAAAATTTTTGCAGTAATTTTGTAAACATACCCTTAAATGAGTTTATTTTAAAATGATTAAGAATTAGCTTGTGATTATAAACAAAAATAAAAACTGAAAAAGGATAATAATAAAATAAAGATTAAAGCATGGTAGTATCGCTACAATTGTCGACCTTTAGAACTATTAATATTTAATCTAGTTGCTTATAACTCAATAATAAATAGTATTACTAAAATCCCCATAAGCATTAATAAAACAATTTATTTACCTTCTGTATTTCTGGAGAAAATATCTCTTTAGGACCTTTTTCAATTTTATCCATATTTTGAAAATTGCTGAAAAAGAATACAAAGTTTAAATGTGATTATGTTCTTAAATACTTAATGTTACAGATATTTTTGAAAAATACAACTCGTAAAGCATATTAAATGCTTTAAATTATTAAAATCATATATGTATTATTGTACAACAGAAATCATCGTATTATAAGCTTACATAATCGAATAAGTATCAGTAGCATTACTCTGTGTAAATTCATTAACGTCACTTTAAATGCATTTGAGATTTTGGCATATAGTTTTGGGTATATTAAATCCCTTGAATATGAAATAATCATTAATATTCACATCATTATCTGCTAATGATGAATATGTCACAGAATACTAAATATCTTCGAATTCACAGAGAGAGACAAACCATGTATGAATTCAATATCAACTTTGTACTGTATCAAGTGAATATTTAATGATTTTTTTTTTAAATTTTTAATTATAATATGTTATAGTTGTATTACTATCATTTTTATAAAATATCAGGTTAATAAATTCTAGTGAAAAGTAAGAAAGAAGTTAAATATTTATCGAAATATAGTAATTCAAATATCGTGAGATTTAAAAATCTCATATGAAGGTTTGTAATTTACCCAATATATTATTCAAAAATGCGATTGAAATTCACGCGGTTTTAAAATATGTAATTGTGAATTGTTTAATATAATCTGGAATTAAATTGTATAAAATTACCTGCTTGTGTATGAGCTGTAGGATAGTTGATTTTAATTTTATGAATATTTTATGTAAATGAATACGATATATAACTACTATTGAATATTTTTTGATTTTGTTTATAATACTGCAAATTTAATTATTGATCACAAGATATTTGTATATCCACGTCATTATAAACGGCGTTAATAATTTTTGTTTCATTATGCAAGTATTTGTTATTAATTAAATAATTTCATATTTAGCCAATCCATCGATCTTTTTCGCAATTTCTAAAATAATTCAACCTTTAAAAAAATTAATAATTTATGAATTTAAACTACTTGTAATTGTCTGTATATCGAATTTATGTGGGATGAATAAATACATGCATATATGTATATACATAGTCCAGTCAGATTAATGGGATCAACATCTACTTCACTGCTTTTACAATGTGAAATAACCAATTGCAGAAGGTAGGATATTAAAGTCCGAAGGAATCGGAAAACGCTGCAATTAAATTTCAGAAACGGAGTGGTTTATGAGGCGTCTAAAGGGCACATGCATTAATTTCTGAGTTAAGGGTGGATGCATTTCCGAAACGGTTTTTTTGCTAACTGTTCGCATGCTGCCACAATAAAAGTATAGCGTACATGACAAAATGGCATTTTCCGTAATCAGCATAGTGCCAAATGTGGTCACCACGGGCTATGGATGACAGAGCTGAGCAATGGCCACGAAAACGTACAACTGCTGAGTAACTAATCGCGCAGATAAACCATGGGGCTACCAACAGAGTCTCCACAACGACTGTTCAGCGAACGTTACGGCGTATGAGTCGTCCCATCTGACGCGTAATTAATACACCAATGCTTATTCGAACTCTATGAAAGCTGGAATTTGCACAACAATAATGCAACTGAATGTCCAATAAATGGAGAGAGATAGCTTTTCCAATGAATCACATTTTATACTCCATCGGACTGATACACGTGTGACAGCGTGAAGTGTCTGAAAGCAAACAATGTGCAACAATTTTCGGAAGGGTCCAAGCATCATAAGAGACCAATATGGTCTGAAAAACTATTTCGTAGCATTCTTCGAGTGCACTCGTTGTTGTTGAAGGCACGATTGAGCAATACAAGTGCAAATCTGTCATTGCGGACCATATCCACCTTTACTTGAGAATCGATTCTCCTTAGGATAAAGTGACCACACGTCCCGATTTTGGCGGGACTGTCCCGCTTTTTGGTGGATTGTCCCGCGTCCCGCCGATTTTTAAAAATGTCCCGCTTTTTAGAAAATATCTGCATTTCTTATTTTAAATGTACTGTAAAAATATATTCCTATTATTTAAGTATTATGGTGAATATAAAGAAATAAAAAATACATAAAATGAGTGCTGAGTAAACTAAATTAGGCAATGTACCAAGTTAGATTTACTCGGTGGTGTGCGATCATTGTCTTTACGTCTCGGCTTAATCCAGATAAGTGCGGACTGCCGTTAGACAGCGCGGTTTGTTGTATTCAATTTGACGTTCGGTTTGACTCATTATTTGATTGACAAAGGTTGAGCAATAGTCGCCACAAAGTAACGGTCAATAAGGTAAAAGCCTTTGTAATAATTTTTTTTATTTATTTCTAGTATTTACCCACAAAATAAAAGATGAGTAAAAAAAGAGGATGAAAATTTAATGAAGAGCTAAGCAAAGAATTTCCATTTATTAAAAGTACCAAAATAGACTATATGGTACGGTGTGATAAACGCAATGCTGAATTTTGTGCCTCACATGGTGGAAAAAACGATATTACAAAACATCTAGCGACAAAGAGGCACAAAAGATTTTGTAATAATGCCGCTTCCTCATCTAAAATGGAATAGTTTTTTCGCAGTGAACACGGAAAAACAGCTAGCATTAGCGGAAGGGCTATTTGCTTTCCGCACCATAAACCACGATCAAAGTTTCAGATCAATGGATCGTACGTCGCAAGTGATCAAAACATTATACGACAAAAAATATGCATGTGCAAGGACAAAAACCGAAGCAATTATTTGTAATGTTTTTTCACCATATTCGTTTTCACAATTGCAAAAAGAATTAGAAAAATGCGCATTTATATCCATATATTTTGATGCTTCCAAAAGCAATGATTTAAAATTAATCCCACATATATTTTGATGCTTCCAAAAGCAAAGATTTAAAATTAATCCCACATGTGTTAGATTTTTCGATCCAGAAACAGGAATTAAAATTAGAATATTAGATTTTGTTTCATTGCCTGATGAAACTTATCAAATAATTTTTGATTTAATAAGTACTATTTTAAAAAAGAATAATTTTAACAATAAAATTATTGCCCATTGTGCGGATAACACTAACGTAAATTTTGGTGGAAAAGCTAGAAGAGGCATCAATAACGTTTTTACGAAACTTAACGAACCTTTGAAGCAAAAAAATATTCTAGTAGGTTGTGCAGAGCACATTCTATACCTATACTATTCAAACAGCATCCGACTTACTTCCAGTTGATGTTGAAAATATTTTTGCAAACATTTATTCGTATTTTTATATATATATTGTGCGTGTTGAAAGTTTGACTAAATTGTAATTCTCATTTCATCCCATTTGTCCCGCTTTGTCTCAATAAAAATGTGGTCACTTTACCTTAGGATGATGGCATCTACCAGCAAGACAATGCAAATTTGATATACAGCTCATACGCGCGTGACTCGAAGAGCACCAGCATGAGTTTACCGTAATCTCCTGGTCACCAAACTCTTCCTTGAACCCAGTCTTTAATCTGTGGGACCACCTTGATCGGGTTGACAGCGCCATGGATCCACAAACGAGTAACCTAGGGCATCTGGCTATGATATTTCAGTAGGCGGGATCACTTTCAAGAACCTAAATGCCTCACCTTGTAGTGGTCCACTCTTCTGAAGGTGGTTATTTTAGTTTTAAATAAGTGAACGTATTAATGTGACTGGTCTGTGCATTGAATACATTTTTCCGAGATAACAAGATAGTTCGATTTCTTTCTTTTTTTCCTTCTTTTCATTATGTATATTATTTGCTAGATTTAAGCGTTGATAAAATAAGCTTATTTTTTATAAATCCTTTAAATAAATATTTAATGTAAGTAAAAAAAAATAATTATTTACAAAAACAATCTTCGTTAAGCCGAATGCGAAATTTAAAGTAAAGTTAGTTTTCTAATTTCCACGCTTTCGTTAATGCGATTATATATAATTTAATTTAAAAAATAAGTAGAATTTGCTTACCTTAAAATAGATTTCACAGTCAAAGGTTTGCCGGGAGAGTGGGAAAGACAAATCTTTTGTGCGCCCTAAAATAAATAAGAAATTGTGATCCAACTGTTTAGTTGGAATTGTTTAAGACAACATAAAATCGAAATATACAAACAGAATTCTTAATTAAGAGTTTTGTTGGTTACTTTGGTTAACCGTTACATAAACACTGCAAATTTTAACAAATGAATTAAAGAAATCTTTCTTAACGAGAAAAACAATCTTTATTATGCTTTTACGATAATATCAAACAGCAATTAAAGAGCTTAGTGAAAGAAGTTGCTAATGGCAATTAAGTAAGTTAGGAAAATCGGCTTTCAAGAATATAGAAAAGCAGAAATCTGTTTAAAAATGCATTTTACCATTAAAAACCATCTTAATGAAGTAAAAAAATTCGTGTTTTATCCGCAGTTGATAGCAAGCATTTTTTAATTCGAAATATTGAGTGTTTTAAAAATGTCAAGTGAAACTTTCTTTTAAACTTCTCAATTTATAAAAATAAATAAAATTTTAGGATTGTTATTTAAACTAGTTTTTTTGTTTCAGTTTAATGGGAGTTTTATGTATTAGGAAACCATTTAATTTATCTATTTTTAATAGAAATGAATTCGGTTTTGAAGAATTTTGCTACCAGCAAGTAGCATAACATTTTCAATTTTGAACTAAACTTCTCAAACATTGAACAGCATGAAATTTTTGAATTAGTATTTTCTATTGCACATTTTATCATATTTAAGGAGATATTTTAATAAAATAATAGCTATTTGCATTAAATGCCTTGAAACTTTGGGCAACTTTTTCATTAAGTAAAATAATTATATACTAATCAAAGAAACAATCTAAGAATCATCATCAAAAATGATCATCATGATAATTTAAGATGTTATTGAGTCCACTTACTTAAAAACTCTGGACCGAGAAAGCAGTTTATAAATTATGTGAAAACATATTTCCTTCATATGAGCATCAATAAAAAATTTTCTCTAACTTCATTTATACCAAATCGAACTACTTGATATTGCCTAATTCGGATGTGGGGATTTCGAATCGGAAATTAGTTTTGCTACTAAAGCTACAGATATTTTAAAAATGACTATCGTTTTTTCTGTCGCAAGTTTACTAAAGTTATATGTAACAGGAGTCGCGTAAATGTTGCAATAAACTTCTAGGGGAGGTAGGACACATCATCGGGATAAATTTTGCATGGGAGCACATGCCCGGAAATAACGCCTCTATCGGCATATGATGACATTTCCAGGCATAGGTTCCGGTGCCTTTTAAATCCTGATGATATAACCTAATTCTTTAAGAGTTTGCCGTAATATTTATCCAACCTACTCTTATATATGCTTTTAAAGTTGAACATTTTGACAGAAAAATGACTAAAAATGTCAATAAAAAAACTGTAGCTTGGAGAGGGAAACCGATTTCAGATTTGACATCATCCATACGAAAGTATCTAAGATATGTTAAAAAATCTTATGGTACAGGAAACAAACAGACAAAAAATATCCCCTAGTGTAATTTATCAATATCATATTTAAAAATTTAATTTCGCCAAGACTGTAATTACGAATCTAAATGCATTGGGTGTCAAAAAAGTATGGAAATGGTCGAATCTTTCAAAAAAGTGTATTGGATTAAAATTCAAAGAATATATGAATGAAATATTTTTAAAATTATCCGTTTAATGACACCAAAATTGTTTCCCCAAACTCCTGGGGTGGAGAAATCTTCAAAACAATCTTCGGAATTCCTATTTTTAGTGACAATTTGGATTCTAAAGAACAAAAAAATCTCACAATTTGACTAAAGAGTCTCACTAGTTAGATTGACTAGTTACAGTTCTTACTAATTTTAGTTTAATGGTAGGTTATATTTTCTTAAAATGGAAATACCTTGAAAAATAGATCTCAGAAGAAAAAAATAATTCTTGTGTGATTTTTTGAGCATTCAAATTAATAACACCAAACTTAATTCCTACTTCGTTAACTGAAAGGACTGCAGGGGGGTGGATACAAGTTTGGAGCGTGGGGTCAAAAATGACTTTTACGTGTATTTTTCAATTTCATATGTCACAATTTCTTAATATATTTGACTGTTTCTACACTTTTTAGACACCCTGTAGGTATTTCAACATTTATCATATTTTATATTTTATGTTTCAATATTTTTTCTTTATGTCTCATTAAACATTTTCCCATTTTTACTTACCGTCTTTCGCCACAAAATTGCCCTGTACTGCTGTACTCCTTGGGAGTTCGCATCTGTGAGGACAACTGATAGAAAGAAAGGTATTTTTTCTGCATCAGCCCCAACATAATTCTGATGTACTGTAAGAAACACAATACAATATAAATTTGTAGATAAACTAACGAGGGAAAAAGTACGAGCAAAATTATTTATACTTACACTTTCCTAGAAAGAACTTGAAATACCAACGCGTTTGATATTCGGGATTTTCTAATACAGGAGTACTTGGAGATCCATAAACCTAAAAAAAATCAAAAGAAATGGACAATTCTCAGTATTTTTAGTTATTTTCCAATAAAATTTTACAACATTTAATTTCACTTGAATTTTTTTCCGTCGTGAAGCAAAAAAAAGCACTTATTGATATTTTTTAACTGTATGAATATTTTCTTCTGTTGGCTACTACTTGATTTTTGAAAAGAATCCAAAAAATAATTGCTTGACGTGAAAACAATCCATTTTGAGATAAGAATTCTCGTAATTCGCGCGACGTATATGTCACGTTAGATCAACATGTGTTGGAGAATAATAATGGAATTCACTGAAATAATTTTGATCTGATAAAAGGAAATAATTTGAATCTCATGCATAATACGTAAAAAAAAAATTTTTAAATAATCAAATTCTAAGAATAGACATAATCTTTTTTCTACTCGTAATGAATTTTCAACATACACTAAAGATCCAAAACATTGTGATCACCTACTCAATAACGCGTTGCGCTATCTTTGGTCTTCAAGAAAGCTGCAACTCACCTTAGCATGGTCCTTGGTAAATAACTGGAGAAACGTTTTACTAATGTCTAAGCAGTGGTCACGCAAACTGTAAGTAATTCCGAATGAAGTTACGGTAAAATGTAGTTGCACCCAGATTGTCGTCACTTTTTACATAAAAATCCTTTTTTATCGTGAAATTTATCGGAACAAAAATCTGATTATGATGCCACAATTGGTATTACATATTTATTTCCTATCTTTTGAAATATCTTTGATTACTTGAGCCTATTTTTATTAATAGAATTATATATTTAAAATAAATCAGAGACTTAAGCTTTTAAAACGAATATAAAATATTTATTTCTTCCCTTATCAATGTAACGGATACTTTTTATTTCAATACTAATGCAGACTTATTAATTCACTGTCGCGCCTAATCAAAAACAAAAATCTTATTTATAACTTCTTATTCTAATTTCTAACAGTAAAAATGTTTCAGTTGCATGTTTATAATAATTCTCATAAATTTGTGGGCGACTCGTGATCGCCAAGGTATTTTTGAACTCTATATTGATAATGCTGGGTTGGCTTTGTTTTGGCTACGTTATATTTTAATAAATCGCCAATTTTGGATCTCCTACCTATGCTTCTGTGCCCGCTGGGAACAAATTACACGTACTTTGAATTTGGCTTTAGTTTAGGCAGGTTGTGGGGGGTTTGTCTCCCATGGCCTGTCCTTATTAATAATTATTATGCAAAATTTATTCAACTGAAATTCTTATAGATAATAATTAATTTTTGTATCTCGAGCTCCGCAAATAATACTAAATAAAAGCTTTATATCAGTTATGATCCGGTTTTCATTTTCAAGTGTTATTTTCATCTTCTTCTGTTTTCATCACTATCTTTAGCTAGTCCACTATACAATATACCATACAAACTCCAACACCCTGAGATTTCCATCTTCACCATACTGATGTAACATTTTTTTTACACAGTGATACTTATTGTAAAATCACAGTAGTTTAAAAATTATCACTGTAAAATATACGGTATCAAATTTTACGATAAAAATGGATTTTACTGTAAAATTAATTTTTCCATATGATGCACCAAGGATGCGTGTACTTTTTACTGTAATTTGATCCTGAATTTCTTTGCATTGCAGAGTTTATATATTCCGACATCCGTGACAATCATAATTTATTTGTGAGCTGACTTTCTGTCACATCCCAAGTGAGATATATTTGATTAAGATCCAGAACTTTAGGTGTCTAGGACGTTTCTTGTAATTCATTATTATGCTCTTTAAAGCACTCCATATTTCGAGCTTTGTAAATTGAGGCGTTGTCTTGCTGTACGATTCCATTGTCAGTTGGAAACACAGACTCCACTCCATATATGGGTGCGCAACTGATCCGAAATTATGTTCAGATCATTCGTAGGTTTAAGGGGTTCTTTTTTTGCACAAACTGTGTGCCTTAAAGCCCCCTTCCCCACGAGAACGATCTCTAAAGCTTAATTACTTAATTGAAAAAATTCATGCAAGAAAACTTCATGGGCTAAATTATAAAAAAATAAAATAAAAATACTATGGATAAAAAAAAACAATCTTATATATAACCTTGATTTCCATTTTGGATGTAGACATCTTATAGGCAGAGCTTTATCGATAAAGGGATCCAATTTTTAAAATTAATAAAATGTTGGGTTAAAATATTCAGATCTGATTGCAAAACTTACTTCATCTTTCTCTACTTGTTCCCCATTTTCAACTCGGAACCTTCTAACTAAACTTTCAGATCCTTCACTATCACATGATGCAAGCTAAAACATAAAATGTAAACTGTAAATGATTTTTGTTTTAATGAAATTCTAAAAAGGTCATTGACCTGACAAATCACTTTTACTACATTGGTTGTTATGCTTAAAATATAAAATTTTGAAATTATGCATTAATTTTTTTAATTCTGCTATTTTAACCTCGTGTTTTGCAAAATTATGCAAGTTGATGCTTATATTCATAGTTAATGCATTTTTCGTTAAATAACTCAACGATAATTGAATATAAATCGATAATATCTGAGCTACTTAAAAAAGGAATATGTTTTTTTATTTAACATAATGTTAAGTTTGTTTGCATGAAGAGTAATTAAAAGCAGGATTGGTTTAATTATTTTTCTAATAAATTTTGTGGCATTGATTCGCTACCGTTAGCTATAGCTCGCTATCGTTAATGAATTTAATATTAATTTAGTTTATTAAAAATTCTGGGATTATTTAAGTTGCTTTCCTAAAATATTAATGTCTGAATCCCAATTAATTAACAATATTTTCTATGCTGGTGGTAAATGTCATGAAATTAATAAGAAAATTTTGTAAACAAATTCAGTTAAGAAACATTTTTTTGTTAGATATAAAAAAAGGAGGAGAAAAAAAAGAAATTTTGAGATGCAATTTAATAAATTTAAATCTTACAAATTTTTTTACTAAGTTATTTTTATAATGAAAATCAGTTAATTTTTAAGCAATGATTATGCTTTTTCAGGCATCAAAAAGAAAAAAAGTACTTTTGTTTCAGACATTAAAATATTGTCAAAAATAATTATAATTTTGTATTATCAACAAGACTGACTTACACTTGATACAAATTTGAAGAAAAGGAAAATTTATTTTAAATTTAAGTCAATATTAATTATTGCAACCTGCTTTCACATTTTCACATCCATTTTTTTAAAACAAACTGCATTCTTTAACGTATTAAATTACGCTTGGAAATCAAATATTATGACTTTTTTATATTTATGAAGTTCTTTTTTGATAGTAATTATCTTTTATTTGGCTTGAAGATTTGTTTCTATACGTGATGTGTAAGTTATTTCTTTTTCATTTTTAACAGGAAGAATAACTCAAAATTAACCTTTAAAAATGACGAAATGAAAGAAATGTGCTATTTTTAATTGTCGCATAGAGTGTTAAAATAATATTAAAAAATTAGAATTTATTTCTTTTTATTATTACCTTCATAGATTTTATGTAAGGGAATGGTTAGTCATAAGTTTCAAAAATTTAAGATGTTTCAGGAAGTTGAGAACACTGTCTAAATCATTTCGGGATAAATATTTCTTTTATTATTTCTCTTAACTTTTCAAATGTCGTGTAATGTCCTTTAGTAGTATTGATTAGATTTAGGAGAAATACTTTTAATATTCAAAAAACGCAATCATATTGCCAATAGGCATGAATAGGCTTTTCAGAATTTTATATAAAAATGAATCTATGTTTCTAGTTCCTCATATAGCAACATCATAAAAATACTTTTAGACACTCAAAAATATTTTCTTTCTAGAAATATAAATTTTTGTGTTGTAAATTTAACTTGGAACATTTTGTTTAAATATCTATTTATCTATCGCCGACGTTAATAGTTGAATAAAATTGTTGTAAAAAGAGTTTTAGAAGATTGAAAAATTAAAATGTGTTATATAATACAATTTCCGTAATACTTGCTTACTTTCGTTTACTTAGGCGCGATATACTTAAAATTCATATTTCAAACATGTAGCAACAAATTAACATTTTCTAGTTATTCTTCACAGATATTTTAGTTGCGTAACTATTTCGTGACGTAACTCCAAATATTATGCATAATGTATTTTGTTATTTATAGAAATTTGGTCAATCAATAAAAAATGAAGACCTCACATAGTTTAAAAATTTATATTGATCATTTTATACGTCACGTCTGTGCTAACATTAAAAGTTTAAAGTTTTATTACGATAACAGCATTTCATTTGAGCCAAACAAATAATCTTAAAACATATTTCCTGATTTTTGTTTCTGAATAAATGATTGTCATAAAAACAGTTTTAGAAAAAAAAGAGAAGGCTTTAGATGGTATTTTTTCTTTATTTCTTTTCATTCATATGATACCAATATTCGATAACATTTTTTCCCTTTTTCATGAATCAATTTTCAGACACGAACCATAAAATTTACATTTAAAGTAACACTTCCATGTATTGACGAACTATGAATATACCCTGATTATTCTAAATGAATAATTTAGTTTGATGATTACTTAATTCGTGACGCAATCATGAATTTTATGGAAAATTTAGAATGCTATTTATAGATCCTGGTTGGTCAATGAAAAAAATTAAAGGCCACGCTAAGCTTTTTTTATCTTTATCGATCCTTTAATACAGCACGTGTGTGCTAACATTCGAAAATTAGTTTCGCAATGAGAACATCATTTTATTACTCTGGAGTGATTTTACCTGGAAGGTTTTTACGAAAAATTAGTTTTATGATATTTTAAATAGCCTACTTAAATATATATTAAAATTGCTTTTGAAAAGCCAATTTTGTAGATAAAAAACGTGTTTTTTTTTTCATTTTTAGGAAGAAATTGGTGTTTGAATCTTTTATTGTTTCTTTTTTACTTTTTTTTAATGACGAATTACTTTTGAATAATTAATGTATCCGAACTTAAATAATATTTACATTAATCAACCAATTATCAATATCAGATAATTATTCTTTGTATGCACCTCAATTTGATGAATATATAATTTGTGATGTTTTTGTTAAGTAATGTGAGGAGTTATTTATGATTTCTTGGTCAGGGTAAAAATTAAAAGCTTTAAGTAGTTTTTCCTACTTATACGGGTTTGAAGGTTGTCTTATGTTTCTACTAACAATCGACTTTTTAAAAATATCGTTATTAAGACTTCAATTTACATCTATCTAATAAATTATTTTTGGAAAATGCTTCATGTAAAAACTGGGGTTTTAAAATATAGGTTAGGTAGAAGAAGAAGTAAAATAATGTAAGGGGTTATTTATCTTTTCCTGGAGAGGGAACAAAAATCAAAAGCTTTACGTAGCTTTTTTGCCCATGCATATGTGCAGATTGTCTTATCCAGGTAGCAGGTTGTGCAGGTGTTATGTGTTGTACTAGCAATCAACATTTTAATAATATAGTTATTAAAGCTTTAATTTATTTCTCTCTTATAAATCATCTTCGGAAAGTTTTTCATGTAAAAATTGGGGTCTTAAAACATAAGTTAGGTAGAAAATAAAGTAATCGCTTTCATTGGTACATGTTCCTCTGTTTAACCTAACTGTACACAAATATCAACAAATGAACTGAAGTTTTAAAGCACTTTATAATTAAGGAAAGAAAAAACCCGTTGTAAGCCTGGGGTTCATAGAGATAAGGGCAACACAATTTCGTGACCAATGGCATTGTGGTAAGAAGGTTTGCAATACACACAGGCCATCTATGCTTCCCAGACAAGCTGGTGCCTATCAGTCTGTAGCTTTGTTGGCTATAGGCCACTCCTGGATTGAACCCCAGTTCTTTACAAGGACAGTTAAAGGCCTTAACCAATGAGCTATTGCAACCGCCACTTAACAAACCATAGCAAAAAGAGATTTTGTTTTTTACCAAGCTGTTAAATTATAACACAGATTTATATTACTATTTAAATAGATTATAATATTAGATAATATTTAAAAAAATAAAACCACTGATTAAGAAATTTTTTTAAATTAAAAGAAGTCATGGTTTAGTTGTTGAGTTAGATAAAGTTTTTTGATAAGATTTTTTTAAAGTTTATTATAGTATTAACCGTGCGCCATATATGTCTTAGGGCGTGTATTTTAACAAGAATTGTAAGAATTGTAAGAATTGTTACGTTCGACTTTAACTCATAATTCTTTTTTAAGAATAGCGTTAGAGTATCATGATAGGGTTAGTTCTTATTACGTTTTTAATAAGATGAAATACAAATTTCTTATTAAGGTGCTTTTGGTGCTGTTTTGAAGTTGGCAGGTTTAAAAGAATACACTTGAGGTATAAAATGAGGTCATGTTTTGATCCAAAATTAACCTCATCAGAGAATTTCAACTTTAACAACCTCATTCACACCTTATAAAATTAACCTTATATATAATTAAAACAATATTAGTTAAACGGTAAAATTATTCACACCTCAAAAATTATCTCATTTGTTTGAAGTGCAGAAAAAGTAACCTGTAAACCTTAAAAACAACCTCTCCAAGCTACTTCCTCTATGGTAGATTTCTCTTTACCTCTAGTGTGAATAAAATAACTTTATACACCTTGTTTATAAAGGTTAAGAGGGGGATTTTTTGAGGTTGTCTTTGAAGTCAACTTCAAATAAACCTCAAATCAACCTCAACACATAAAAATTCCTTAAATTTTTGCAAGAATCTATTTGTTGTTAGAAGGTGTCATTTTTATGATATAATCTACTTAAACTCTTTCGTAATTTCTGCTTACAATAATTTTTAATAGAGGCGTTATGGCTCAGCAGATAGAGCACTCGTCTCCTAATGAGGCGAATCCCAGTAATGGCTGGTAGTTATGAATTCCGCATCCGGCTGATATCGAGCACAGTGCTGACTTAAAATATTCTCAGTGGACGATAAATCATGGGTTACAGTATCCTTTCCGTCAAGTTAACAATGGATGGTTTTCGTTGTTTCCCTCTTCAAGTAACGCAAATGTAAATAAGTTCCCTCAAAAAGTCTTATAAGAAGGCTAGTTTGTCCTAATGCTTGTTCCAGGAGCTCCTTTGCTTTCTGGATTGAGTTAAAATTACAAGACTTCGGAATTGAACATAGGTGTTCATAACTTTAAATTGAGTAAGCTGTTCAACGATGGTTATAAAATAAATATAAAAATTACTGATAATCTAATTATATCTGCTAATACAATAGAAATTTTGATTTGAAAATAGGTTCTTAATTATTCTGAAATGTAAAAAAATTAATTATATATAAAAAAAAATTAAAA